TAAAATGCTTGTTTTCACTTAAATAAATGGTTATGATCGTTGTAGGTGCTGCCTGTCCCCAGGTATTTGCCTTAATATCTCTTGAACCTAAACCTGAAGGTCTAGAGGGTAGGGGGCCTCTAGGACATAAGTTTATTTCTAAATATGCACACACAGACATGCTCAGACTGAACTGGCTGGAAGTACTGTTTCTCCATGTGAAACACCGAGGGAGAAAAGATTGCTCTTCATATGGATTTCTTTTCTCCTTTGGGATCATTCTAACACATAGTGTTCTGTTTGGGTGGAAAAATCTATCTGCCCTTCATTCCAGTCAGTTTTAATTCCCCCATCACCTAGGAAAGTGGTGGATAGGGAGGGCCTGGTGAGGAATGGGAGCAGAGGGCAAGGAAAACATTGATTTTATCCAATACTACAATTGTTTCACTAACCCTGTGCATGGGTGTGGATGGTTGGTTTGTAGGCACACCAGAGGGAAGATAAGTCAATAAAAGCTGTTCTCACAAGTTTGAAATTAAACACTTATCAAGCACTTATAGAAAGCAGGTTTTGTCTTTAATTTTTTCCACTAACCAGAATTCAGTGGAAATTTTCATGAGACTTTTTTTTTTTTTTGGCTTACAACAAAAGTTGGGGGTTTTAAATTTATTTATAGTGCTAGACATGACTTTAAAAATTATCCAATTGTTTTGACTGAGAAAAGATTTTTATGTGCCTTCAGGGTAACAGTCAAGAAATGATAAATTCTTGTAAAGATACAGATTTTTATTGCTGTTACTTTGTTGTCAGATAATTTCATGACTGGTCCTTCTACAGGATAGAAAAATTATAGCCTTGGAATAGGCTATAATTATAGCCTTTAATATCTGTCAAATGCCAATTAAAATGTTTTCATTAATGAAGTAATCTCTCTTGCATCAGGTAAACAATATTTTCTAATTCTGATAAACTTAATTAAATATGTTCATTACCTGAAAGTCTGAGGGGCTGATGATGAGAAAAATATTATTTGATGAGCTGTCCTTTGAGTCAATCAATATTATTCCATTGGCAAAAACCCCACCCTCCAATATTATTTATTGAAGTTTAACTACTGCTCTTACTTCTGAGGAGAAATGGCTGAAGAATGGGGAGGAGGATGTTCTAAGACTGCCTTAGCCAAGAAAATTAATATCTTGGAGAAAAGAGGTCTGTGGTTCCTTGTAGCACTAAACCTGCATTATATGGGAAAACTGTTGTTTAAACATGTCTTAAAATGGCTTTTGGTGGTCTCTTTGCAAACACATGCTTCTTCTTCCCAGCACCCCCCATGTTATCCATGCAGGAATGTCCTGGGAAGGTGTCCTGAGGTGTTTCCCGTTGGCCTTTGTTAACCCCTTCCTGTGGTGTTCCTGTAAGCCCCTTGAGACTTCTAATTGGTTACTCTGTGAATCCTCCTAAACCCTATAAATGTAACATCCCCCACAATAAACTCTCTCTTGCCTCCTCTCCACGTCCGGTGTCCTGTATCCCTGCCGGCCATGGGGCCACATGTGGGGGGGGAGGGGGAGCACCTCTCCCCTCCAGGCTCAGGGACAGAAAAGACCCCTGAGAAACCCCTGGAGTTCCCTTTCCCCATCCTTCAAAGCGTCACAATGGTTCTTCAGATGGAAATGGAACTAGAACTGGGCCGCCCCACGTCGTGGGTGGGGAAAGGGATCCAGAGTTCCTGTTTTCAGGAAAAAGTACTTTCAATGTATGGTAAAGGTTAATAGTACACGTACTTGGAATAATACTCCAAGCTCAATTCATTCAATATTCCAGCTCAATTCATTTAGTTCACAACAACTGTAGCATTTTCATTTTTTTCTGTTTATCCCAGCTGAAGATCAAGTCTCTTGACTTTGCTAAATGGATACGAATATTTGTGTGCACAACAGGGATGCTTTAGATTTTCTTTTGAGAACAGAAGTTATAACTCATATCAGCATCAGGGTGAAAAGCACCCAGCTCAGGCTTGTTGATTAAAAAAAAAAAATCACTGGGTTCCAAAGTAAAAGATGAATCCTTGAGGCATATGGTTACACACAGGAAAATGATGTCCTGATTATAATGTTAAGGAAAACAATGTTCCTTTGAGTTTCAATTATGTACTTATTGAAAAAACAGACACAAATTTACTTCCATTGGCTCCATTGCTCTTAGTGTTCTGGCTGTAACACTTTATATCCATTCTTCTAAATATTGCACCTCCCCTATTTAAAATCCAGCCTTGGGTTTGGATGCATACATGTTGAAATTCACTTCCATTTATTATACAGAAAACAGCCATGGTAATAGATCTGTTACAGAGTCTAAAGATAAACTGTATAAACAAGTGAGGAAGAACATAGAAGATAAAGGGTTAAGTGATGATGTGAGCAGAAACTGAGCTCAAAATTGGAGCTGTTATAAACTGAGAAAACAACATAGCTCTAAGGTGTATTATGGTTTGAAAAGCTATCAATTCTTTACATAACATTACTATTAGTTACTTAGGTAGGTTGTATTAAAATAAAGCTGAGAGTTAACTGAACCATACATTTTATAGGTGCACGTTTAATTAAATTGTATGTTTTATCTGTAGTAATAAAATATGAGACTCATCTGAGTTAACACAGAGTTTTACAGTTTGAAGGTCTGAAACATCTTCAGTGTCTCCTTTCAGGGCTGTTTGGTATATGAGCCATAACACCCACTGGGGGAAAGTGCTAATCTCTGTACCTTTCCATTTGCAGCTAGAAAGCTGTCCTGTTCATCATGCTGATGCTGTACTGAGCAAGTAAATAAAACAGCTTCCTCTTCTGGAATAAAGTGAACCTACAAACTCGAAAGGAAATTCTCTGAATCATCAGAGACCACTTAGCTTTGCATGTGATTTAAATTTAAAAGCACCAACACAGGACAGTACTACGAAAATGTATTCAAGTCAGGCTGAAGGACGCACAGCGGTTTCCTGTTGATGTTGGAGGACAGAGGAGGACACTTTTACACAAGGCAGCAGTACACTAGAAACCCTTATTTAGCCATCTGCACTGTTTTTGCAGTGGTTTGCTGTGGTTTGTTGACAGTGAATAGGCTTTTGTATTTCTCCCTACTATAACAGGCTTGATTTCAGGTATGACCTCAGAAAAGGCCTGATTCAGTATGTTCTGCTGCTTCAGTTTTGTCTAGAGAGGGACTGAACTTGCTTGATGTGTACTTTTAGACTATGATTTTACAAACTGGATGCCTAGAAGTTTAGATGGAAAACTGATGGCCTGATCTGTCACTGATCCCTTATTACAGTGCAGTCACCTGAACCTTCCTGGTTTTGAAAACTAATAAGTCTTCAATCCAGTTCCCACTCAAATCAGTGCAAAACCCCCTCAAGGGGGTTGACTAATGAGGTTGTCTACATTTGGCAAAGAGACTTTTTTAAGAAAATCTGGATTCATCTCTGCAAGCATTCCAGTGGCATCACTGTGTTTGAAAGGAAGAGGCTGGGAAGTTGTGTTTGTCCTCCACGTTGGAGGACATCTGCCAGGCCATGGCTGCCATTCCCCTGGCTGCAGCTCAGAAACAGAGACTGGTCCCATCTCCAAGAAAGGTTTAAAACCAGAGCATTCTTGGGTTGTTGATTTTATTATGTGGAGGCCAGAGCTGTGCCTGTCCAGGCTGCATGGCAGAGAGCTGGGGTGCACCAAGACATCCCAGTGTTAGGAACAGGCTGGAATTGGCCTCATTTTTCTTGTGCATAAATGAATCAGCACTTAGGAGCAGATTCAGATCACTGTCAGTCTATCCTAGCAGATGACTCTCATGCATCTCCCCAGCTCTGACAACAGAAACTGTATGAAACTTTTAAGGCAGAATCAGACATGGTGGAAAGTCATTAGCCTTTTTCTTAGCCAAACCTATGAGAATAAGGAATGATCTGGACAAAACAGATAAGAAAGATTGGCACAAAATTTAGTTGCAGAACTTTACTGTCCATGAAAGCTCGGAAAGATTTTCATGTCCAGTTCTGTTGAGGTCCAAGATGATTTATTAGGACAAGTCATCTGAAACTAATTAATCTAATTTTCTCTATGGTGTTTGCTGTATTTTGACTATTCTTTGATTGAGCTTGAAGAGAAGAAGAAAATAACCTTTCTTTTTGTTTGTGTCACTGTCTTACAATGAATTTTCCAACTACAATGGATTTGCAGCACTCATGTAGCTGCAGTGTTCCCTAGATGCCAATGGACCCAACAAAAACTACTGCAGAAAGAAATCACTACCTCCTGGAGATCATAATTGATTAGTAATGGTATTGATTTGTGTTCATCAGAGGGCAGAACACATCTATCATCCAGATAAACAATCTGTTTGTTCTTTAAAACACTGCTTGTAGGTGTAAACACTGCAGAGATTTCTGAAGATTCTGTTTTGGAAAGGTTGGGCATATTTAGCTGAAACATAAGTCTTAAGTCCCTGAAATACAAGTTTGTGTTGCCTAACAATGTCTGCTGCATGGGTATGTAAAAATGTACGACACTATAACCTTGATTGTTATGCCAAGTGGAAATGCAGCTTTTGATAATGCTTTCTAAGGTTATTAGCCTTTTGAATTCTTGGATAAACAAATCCAAAAACTGACTTTTAAACTACCTTTTATTAGCACCCAATACCTTGCATAATCCTTCCCAAGACAAATAGCATTATGCTGGTGAAAGGAAGTCATGAGTCGTGTATGTTAAGGTTTGGTCCTTGACTATAATTAAGCAATGACAGTATTCTTTCATCTCTCTAATAGCACCCTGGATTTGGTGTTGAGACTTGGGGTGTTACAGTATTGTATGCCTGTAATGTTGCAGTGCATACATGTTTGCTGGGCAAATCTGGGATTTACATGTTTCTCTGTTTAATTTGCACCCCAGAAGAAGAGAGGAAAGAAAGATTATTTGAAGAAGAAATATTTTATTATCATGCCTGACCAGCCTCTCTGCTCTCTCTGGCAGGATGACTGGCTGTGTGATGAAAGGGAAAGCAGAGGGTGCTGTATACCTTGACTTCAGCAAGTCCTTTGACACCACTTCCTGCAGTACTCTGGCTACCAAATTGGTGAGATCTGGATTGAATAAGGAGATAATAAGGTGGGTGTGGAAATTTGGCTGGACTACTGGGCTCAAAGGGTGGTGATCAACCGTACAAAATTCAACTCGCAGAGGATTCCTGGTGCCATGTCCCAGGGATCAGTACTGTGGCCAGGACTGATAATGGCTTTATTTACAATGTGGACAATCCCACTGATTGTGGAGGGTGATTTTCATGCAGGGAATCACAAAATAGGTAGGGCTGAAAACAAGCAGATGTACAACACTGTGAATAGGGCAGCTCTCCTTGTTTGTAAGGAGCACTTATTGCAGAATAGTGCATGACAGAGTGTAAATGTGGATTCAAAACATGCTGACTTCATCTGTTCCATAGCAGGAAGGAAGTGGTGTAGGACTGGGCTGGAAAATTCTGTCCTAAGTTGGTAATGCTCCTGTCAGCTGAGTTACTACTCCTGGGACTGCCTCTTACAAGTAAAACACATCAGTAAATATAATGGTATTTTCTTTTTATGCTGAAGAGGTAAGACCAGAGAAGGTGGATAGCCTTTATGTCACTTCAGATGATTCCTGTTTCTCTAGGATACACCCCAAAACCTAGATCTATGATTCTTTCTCAGGACAAAAGTGGTATAAACACTGCTGTGGAGGTCATTTATATGAGAAAAAAAAATATTGCCCCGTGGTAGACAGTCAGTTTAGTATATGTCTAGAAAAGAAAAACTTTCCAAGAGAGAGGTGGCAGCCAGCTTGATTTAATGGTTTGAGGTTTGGAACTTTTTTATTGGTTTTTTTGTGGACCTCTGTACCAAAATAGCTGTATTTTACCCTTGAAGCAATATATGATTTTGGGAAAATAATATAAAAAATCCCTTGGCATTTTACCCATTGGCTAGTTATTTCTAGACACCTATTCCCACCTGCTGTTTTGTAAACTACAGATTTAAAGCACTTCAATAGTCCACAAGACATTGGTCTTCCTATTTTGCAGTTCTGTCTTCTGTTTTCACTGTGCCTGATGTACAAGATATGAGTCATCCCTGTCACTTGTACACTTCCTGACTACCTGCAGTTTGGGATGAGACTTGGTGTTTTTTTCCTCTCAGCTGACATTTTTTTTGGGAGTAAAGGGCAGGGAAATGTTTTGAAGTAAATTTAGTGTTGCCAAAATAGTGCAAGAGCTTCTCTCCTCAGTAAAATCTAAAAAGGCATAAATTTCATTCATTTCCTGCTGGGATTCTTTTATCCTGACCTGAAAGGAAAGCCTTAAGGATTAAGAGGTCATTTCACTTTACATACCATCTGTGTTTCTCCACCCCACCTTTCCCTTGTCTTTTTCCTTCCAATTTTTATTCCTGCTGTTACTATTTCTTTGTTTCTTACTCATTTCTTCCTCCTGCCTCCCCCACGTACTTTTCCTAAAGCTGCATTTCAGGCTCCACCTCAATTTCTCAATTTCCTTCTGATTTCAACCTTCTATTCACTTCTAATTATTTTCTATCTTGCTTTGGTACCAAAGATCTAAATTATATGCAAAGAGAAAGCAAACATCTCATCATATTGTAGAACTACATTGTCCTTGATGGCTCCTGGCAAAAACCCCACCAGTACTTCAGAGAATCATCACAGAATCATAGAATGGGTTGGGTTGGAAGGGACCTTAAAGCTCATCTCATTCTAATCTCCCTGCAGGGGGGCAGGGACACCTTCCACTAGACAAAGTTGCTCCAAGCCCAGCCCAACTAGGCCTTGAACACTTCCAGGAACGGGGCATCCACAACTTCTCTGGGCAATCTATGCCTGTGCCTAACGCCCCTCACAGTAAAGAATATCTTCTGAAGTAGGAACTTAGGCTCTTCTTTTTCAGTTGAAATATTTTTCCTCCTAGACATTATCTATATTTTTGGCTACATTTTTAAATGGAGGTGAGAAAAACCAAACAAATATAATCTACAGTATTAAAAAATGTTACCAGTAACATACAAATGCAGAGGGTCAGAACCTTGACTTCTTCCATGTTTTGTTCTCATTTTCAATTACAGCTGCGCCTGAGATGAGACTGGGTCGCAAAAACCACAGCAAAGAACAGATACAATTCATCTTGAAACACTGCAAGGCTGCCATATTTGTAAATCCTTATGACAGATAGTAAAACATCAGTTTTATACTTGACACTCAGTCACCATTTTGTTTCATTTCCAAAGTCACAGTCCACAGCAAAGATGATTGTCACTTGTGTGATATCAGAGACAGCACATAAAGCACACTTGGCATCCATCTAAAGAAAATTATATCATAAAAAGCTTTGGTTTGCCACATTTAATAATGTCCAAGTCTTCTACAAGCCAGTTAAATAATACACAGTGCTATTTCAGAGCAACTCTTCTTTCTGTAAAAACTACTTGCATTGGTATTTCTTTCCCCTTTCCTATTTTAACATATATACCTTTTTAAAAGGAGTAAGATTGGGGGTCTTTTTTTTTTTTTTTTTTCCCCTTAAGCCACGATTTATATTCTCAGGTTGGATTTGTGTTATTTGAGTCATTTCTTGTGGAAGCAGAAAATCAATAATCACCTTCAAAAAGAAAGCATGTCAGAACCTGACAGAGTAAAATGTATTCCTACCATGCAAACACCTCCAATAGGTTCTACAACTCTACTGCTGGCTCTTGTAACCTCAAAAAGAAAAAAAAAAAGAGAGAGAAAAAAGAAAGATTGAAATCCAGAGATCCTCACTCTGAATATTGGACTTCTGGTGTACTTTGAAGTCAGCAATTCATTAAGTGTCCCATTCTGGTACTGAGGCAACCTAGTTGTTTCTATACGTTCTCTAGAAGCATTTATCATGCACTGACAGGAACAATGAAAGATGCCCATTTTTGGAATGTCCTGAAAGATTGGTTTCCACCTCAACACTCAACCACAGCAAAGTTTTATGGTACAGGTGGTGCTGCCTCAGATAAGGATTTGCCAAATAGGCAAAGATCTATGACCAGACTGGACAAAGGACCTTCCACCCACAACTTCCATTTGCCAGGATAGGAACTTAAAAGTTTTCAGTTGGACTTTTGAATTGATGCTGCACACTCTGCAGGATCATTCCACTCATGCTGTTGATCTGAATACATCCAATAACTTGATAAGCTATGCCACTGAAAACATTTTTATCAGGAGATAATTTCTTCTAAAAACTTTAAACATGTTGTGTCTGTTTTATTAGCTCCAGGAGCTTAGGGGGAAATTTATTAAAACAGTTGTATTTTTACAAGCTCGGAAAGAGGAAGGGGTATTTAACTGCCTCTCCTCAGCACTCAGTCTTGCTGAGCCCAGCAAAGCTCACCGTTTCATTGCTCAGGGATAGGTACCTACTAGTGAGCAGATGCTGTTCTTTTCAGCAGGTTTATTCAAGTGCATGGAGTTGTGCACGTCCTTAAATGCTTTCCTGAGTCAAACTCTGAGATTATATTTTTTTGGTTGACTTGGCCATCTCCTATTTGTCTGCACTCTTCCTCACCAGAATGATTGGGTTTGTTCTGCAGTGTCTCAGCAAGCAGTCAGAAATGTCTCCACAAATCTTTGGATGCCAAAAGTGGCAAAACAAAGGTACTCCGTAGCACTTTAGATTATAATTTTCACTTTTATTGACAAAACCTCATTCTTTTCAGCAACTGCATTTGTCTGTTTTGATTTATTTTTATGTGCATAGATTTTAGCATCACAGCAAAATGTTGTTTACAAAATTAAAACCAACTGATGGTAGGTGGGAATATCTAGAAAGCAGGAGCACTGTTCAAAGCACTGATTTCAAAAGATTCAGTTGTGAATATTCATTGCTCTTGGCTTGTTTCTGTTGCTCTGTTCACTTCTGTTATTTAGCTCAGCACAGCACTTGCTTCAGTGTGAACTCAGTCTGCCCTAAAGAAAAAAAATAGAATCATGCTAAATCATAATATCTCAGTAACAGTAAGAGATAATATCTTCAGTTTGTTTTGCCTGCAAAAATGTCTGGGCCAACAGGACTGCCAAAACTCATAAAACTCTTACGTCACTACCAATTTACTGGCATGAATCTATCATATCTTCCTTTGATGTTTGCTGGCTCATGCCAACATTAACTTCCCTTGATTTTAACCCTCTGCGTGTGCTTGGACATCTTCTGGTAGTGGATATTTTTAGTTTGTTATGTTTATGTCTTTTTCTTAAGAGAGTGTGTGTTTTCTTCTTGAATATTGAGATTACTGTGGACTTGAGCCTAAAATGATATGCCCTAGTATTTTCTTACATGAAAAATTATATTTAAATGTCAATACTTCAGACAGTCTTTTTTTTTTTTCCCTTATAAGACATTGAATCTCCTGCTATGATGAGACCCAGCTCTTTATAGTACAAAATGTAATCGGCCACTTTCCATTATTATATTGTATGACAGTATGACTTCATTCCTAACACAATTTACTTAAATTAAACATTTTGGCAGATGTGCGCGTGAGACTGGATGAGCAGAGCTTCTACTAAATCCCATCCTGAAACAATAACAGACTGTGTTGTAGATCTGGCTATGCAGTAGTTCCCAGCCCTGCTCATAACTTACCGCCCATTATAGGAGACATTAGGAAAGTACACTCAGTAAAACACTGAAGAACACTCCACGATATGGCCAGAAATGACAGGCGTCGATAACAATTTGATTTGTGAAGTAGAGGTTTACACAGCACTGCTGCCTAGACAACAGAGGTGAGTAAACACGTCCACTTGTGATTCGTGACACTTATGAGAGGAAACAAACAATTCTTCAGTGAAAGATGCCGTTTTCCTCTCCTCTGCTGTGCTTTTATACTGTTTTCCTTAGGATAAGTGACAAACACAAAATGTGACTCTTTCTGCCGGCTGCAAACTGTGCAAGCACTGTGGGAGTTTTAGGAATGGTTTGTGTGTGTGAATGAGTTACTGGTTATACTATACAGTAATGAAAGCAGGTAGAAGAAATTCTCTTTGCACTTGGAATAAAGCCTTATCACTTTCTGACAAATCTCCATTAACAA